CCTGAACTCTGGGCCTGGGCGCTGTCCCTCAGCTCTTCAGCTCAAGGCTAGCGCTCTACCACTTGAGCCACTTACGGCTTTTTTTCTTTTTGCTTATGTGGTGCTGAGGAATCGAATCCAGGGCCTCATGCATGCAAGGCAAGTGCTCTACCACTGAGCCACCTTCCCAGCTCCCTGATTGTTTATTTGAATGCCTTATTTTGTTTAGAGACTTCGTTATTTGCTGTGAGAGACAAAGTACGGCCTACCTGGCCATATATGGTAGCTTATGCCTATAATCTTAGGTATGCAAAGATAGGATTGTAGACCCAGATCAACCCCAGGCAAGGTTAATTAACTCAATCCTGTCGGAAAAACAAGCTAAAAGTTTTGGGAATGTGACTCAAGTGGTAGAGCACTTGAGTACAAGGCCCTGAGTTCAGTTACCAGTACAACCAAAAATGCAACAACAGAACATATGATGTGCTAGTGGCTCATAATCCTAACTATTCAGGATGCTAAGATCTGAGGATTGCGGTTCAAAGCCAGGCCTGCCAGGAAAGTCTGTGACACTCATCTCCAGTTGACCACTAGAAAAGTGAAAAGTGGTGCTGCGGCTCAAAGTGGCAAGCACTAGCCTTGAGCAAAAAGAGCTCAGGGACATTGCCCAGGCCCTGAGTTCAAGCCCCATGACTGACCAAAATGTCCCTTTGGAACTGAAACCCCTAGAACTCTAGTGATCAGGGAAGACTTGTTGAGGTTGTCTTGAGTGATGGGTAGGAACTGCATCCAGAAGACAGGGATGGGGATGCTTCCTAACAGCTGACATAATTCTGGGTGTGTCCTATGTGTGTCAGGGGTGACTGTCTGTGTCTTGGCCCTGGCCACACTCCAGCCTGGAACTGTGGGCAACACCCTCCTGCTGACCCGTCTGGAAAAGGATAACCCCCCAGTCACTGTGCAGATCCCCACTGCCCAAAACAAGGTAGGTTCTCAGGCCAGGAACCAGCACTGGGCTGGGGAGGTTCTTCTGGTGAAAATACCCACATGCTATGGCTAGGGGAAGAGAGATGGTAAGTACTATGTAAGCCAACACCTCACAACCTGTCTTCTACAGTTCTCTCTGAGTTCTGTCCTGAGAGAGTTTGACGCCATCCAGAAGGAACAGAAAGAGAACAGCTGCTGTACTGATAAGCGGACATGGTGGACAGGGCGGCTGGCTCTGGACCGCAGGATGGAGGTGTGTGCTCCCAGAATGGGGAGGCTTGGGACTGCCCCAGGGATGATGGGAAGAATGGGGCAGTGACACCAGTATCTTACCCAGCAGAGACCTAGGTCATTGCTGAATTACTTTTTTTAGTCCTCTCTGTAAATGTAGGTCTCAATAAAACATTGTGTCAATTGAGGAGGGCCCTGGCTGGGTGTGGTAACTCATGCCTGTGATCACAACTACTTGAGAGATGGAGATAGATAGGGGAGACTAAAGTTTGAGTCCAGCCCAGGCAAAGCATTCTAACAAGACTCATCTCAACAAAGTAAACCAGGCACATGTAGTGCTTCACATTTATAATCCCAGCTATTCAGGAGGCTGTCAATAGGAGGATCAAGGTCCATGGCTGGCTCAAGGCCAAAACATGAGAGCCTATCTTAAAAAAGAACTAAAAGAAGGGCTTGGGCTAGAGGTGTAGCTCCAGTGGTAGAGCATTTGCCTAGTGTGCATAAGGCTCTGAATTCAAACTTCAGTACCACTCTACCTCCCTACCTACCCCCTAAAACAGCACCAGACTTAAAGTGGGTAGGACAAGGAAATGTTTATACATAAAAGAGGGGGTTGGGGATTTCGCTCAGTGGAAAGGAGCTTACTTACCAAGGGCAAGATCCTGAGTTCTGTCCTCAGCACTGGAAAAAAAAAAAAACACACAGAAGAAAAAGGATTTAAACCCAAATGCCAGCTTCCTGGCTTTAGTGTTCGCTCCTAGTTGTCACAATGTAAGTGACCTGATAACCAATTGCCTTTGCTCTCCCGGAGAAAATGAAAACACATTCTAGATTTTTGTCTTTTATGACTGATAAGTAAGACACATAACATATTGGAAGGAACACACACACACACACTTTCTCATCTCTAAAATGTTGACATTTCTGTTCCCCAATCCCAGGATCTCATCACATCCCTAGAAAAGCACGTGTTAGGCTGCTGGCGGGGGCTGCTGCTGCCCTCCAGTGAGGGGCCAGGCCTTGCCACGGAGGCCTCCCGCCTACAAGAGTTGCTGCAGGAATGTGGCTGGGAATATCCTGACCCTACTCTGCTGAAGGTCAGTTCAGGAAGCCATGGAATAGGTGTGTGTGAGAGAGAGAGAGAGAGAGTGTGTGTGTGTGTGTCTGTGCGCACACGTGCTGCTGGGCTTGCTATTTCTCTAGCAGCCACAGAGTGGAGATGGGAGTTCGTTGTGTCTGCTAATTGTTGATCCCCTACAGGTTATGCTCAGTGGTGCCAGTACCCTCACCAGCCAGGACATTCAAGCCCTGTCCTATGGCCTGTGCCCAGCTCAGCCAGAGCGAGCCCAGGAGCTCTTGAATGAGGCCATAAGACGTATACAAGGCCAGATAGCACCAAGCAATGGGCACCTTGTCTTGGTGCTAGACAAGGTAAAGAGTTGAGGCTTGTGGATAATGAGCACTAGCTCACCTCAGCCCCCTTCAGACTCCTGCATATTCCTGGATGGGGATAGTAACCCCAAGTGCTTTTTGCCCAGGACTTGCAGAAGCTGCCGTGGGAAAGCATGTCCATTCTCCGAACGCTGCCTGTCACCCGGCTGCCCTCTTTCCACTTTCTTCTCAGCTACTCCATCACCAAAGAGGTGGGGCTTGGGGGTTGGGGGGTTGGGGATGAGTGGCAATTGAAGAAAGCTGAAAAAAGGGCAAAAAAAAAAATCCCTGGGAACATAGGAAAGTGTTTCAGCAGTGCTTCAGTTTGCTAGAGGTTGAGCCCTCCTGGTGAGGTCAAGGAAGGTCCTAATCACTGGTGTCTTTCCCTTTAGGCTGGGGCCTCATCGGTGCTGAGCCAAGGGGTGGATCCCCGAAGTACCTTCTATGTTCTCAACCCTCACAACAACCTGTCAAGCACAGAGCAGCAATTTCGAGCCCATTTTAGCAGGTCGGGGGGGGGCAAGGGCATTCATGGGAGTGAGGAAGGGTGGAGGCAGCATGCAGGAACAGCATATCTTTTCTCCAAAATTGATTGTTTCTGTCTACTGAGAGAAGCTCTCTTTGCCATATGATCCCTGCCAAGCACTTACCTCTTCTTTGTCCTGCCCTTTCCCTGCAGTGAAGAAGGCTGGAAAGGGGTTGTCGGGGAGGTGCCAAGCCCTGAACAAGTACAGGCAGCCTTGACAGAGCATGACTTATATATGTGAGTACTTGGGGTAGAGAGGTAGGAGAGGGGAAATCCCAAGGGTAACATCAATGTTGGTTTGGCCCTTTAGAGTTTCTGCAAACAGACAGAAGCCTGGTACTGCCAGGTCAATGCTTACCTCACTTCCTCCTGCCTTAGCTATGCAGGACATGGGGCTGGTGCCCGCTTCCTTGATGGGCAGGCAGTTTTGCGACTGAGCTGCCGGGCTGTAGCCCTGCTGTTCGGCTGCAGCAGTGCAGCCTTGGCTGTACATGGAAACCTAGAAGGGATTGGCATCGTGCTCAAGTACATCATGGCTGGCTGGTGAGGCTCCAGGGGGGAGACCTGTCCTAGGGCATTAAGATTCCTAACCCCACCCCCAGGTTCTTTTCCAGATCTGAACCCTGAATCCTTTCCCTCTCAGGTCCCATCTTAGTTCCCTGACATACCTGAACCTTTCACCCTAAGCTTGCTTCTGTTTTCCTACTAGAACTCTGGATCAAGGGTGTTCCCCATTGGTTCAAGGCTCATACCCTACCCCACCCATAATCATATTTCCATTGTATTCTTGAAAGAGCCCTTACTTTACATTTCTCTCTTTTTCCAGCCCCTTGTTTCTGGGTAATCTCTGGGACGTGACTGACCGTGACATTGACCGCTACACTGAGGCTCTGCTGCAGGGCTGGCTTGGAGCAGGCCCAGGGGCCCCCCTTCTCTACTATGTCAACCAGGCCCGCCAAGCTCCCCGACTCAAGTTTCTTATTGGAGCTGCACCTATAGCCTATGGTTTGCCTGTCTTCCTGCGATAGCACCCCTGAGCTGTTTTATTGCTGATAGAACACATGTGACTCGTTTATCTACAAACTTAAATTTAACTTAATACTTAGGAAAGTATTTTAAAATGATTTCCCCCAATGTTTTATATGGAGCATTTCCTTCCATTTAATAAAATAAAGACCTATCACTAAAACCTTGTTTTGTGTAGTTTGTCTGAAAACATTTCAAGACAGCTGCTTCCCACTGGGAAGAGTTGGATTGTGGGGAGGGGTAATTAGGACTTGAACTGAGGGCCAACAGGGCTCTCCCTTAGTTTTTGTTGTTGTTGGTCATGGGACTTGAACTCAGCCTGGGCTCTGTCCCTGAACTCTTTTGCTCAGGGCTTTGAACCACAGAGCCACTTTCTGGTTTTCTGGTGGTTAATTGGAGATAAGAGTCTCATGGGCTTTTTTTTGCCAGAGCTGGCTTCAAACTGTGATCTTCAGATCTCAGCCTCCTGAGTAGCTAATATTGCAGGTGTCAGCTGCCAGCGGCCCAGCTCCAGTGTGTGTGTGTGTGTGCGCGTGTGTGTGTGTGTGTACAGCGGCCCAGCTCCAGTGTGTGTGTGTGTGTGTGTGTGTGTGTGTACTTGAACTGAGGGCCTGAGCACTGTTCCTGAGCATTTGTGCTCAAGGCTAGAGCTCTACCACTTGAACCACAACTTAACTTCTGGCTTTTTGGTGGTTAATTGGACATAAGTCTCATGGACTTTTCCTGCCCATGTTGCTTGGAACTTTGGTTCTCAGATCTGTCTTCTGAGTGAGTACCTAGGATTACAGGCCTGAGCCATCAGTGACCTATGTTAGCCAGGTACCAGTGGCTTATAGCTGTAATAATCCTATCTACTGTGGAGGTTGTTTGAAGCCAGCCCAGGCAGGTAAGTCCATGAGATTTATGTCCAATAAACTACTCAGAAAAAGCCAGAAGTGGCACTGTGGTAAGAGTGCTAGCCTTGAGCACAAAGAAGCTCAGAGATAGCACCCAGGCCTTGAGTTCAAGTCCTAGGGCTGGCCAAAAGAAAGGATATTAAAGTATAATGCTAGAGGATGCAAGTCACTTTGGCTACTTTACTGTTTTAGGCTCCTTAGGACATTTTTTTTAATTTGTTATTATAAAGGTGATGTACAGTTGCATAAGTCAAGTCACAAGCACACTTTTTTTGTCGGTCACGGGGCTCGAACTCTGGGCCTGGGCGCTGTCCCTCAGCTCAAGGCGAGCACTCTACCACTTGAGCCACGGCGCCACTTCGGGTTTTCTGGTGGTTTCGTGGAGAAAAGAGTCCCACAGGTGTGAGCCATCGGCGCCCGGCAGGAGCACACTTCCGTACAGTGCCGTGAGAGGAACGCGTGTATATTTCCTCCCACCTCGATCCCAGCTCCGCCTTTCCGGAACCGGGGGTCATAGAGACGTCCGGCACTGCGCGGCCTCCCGACGCAGCCATAGAGTGGCACATGGAGTTGCTAGAGCGTCGCTGGGCGAGTCTACTTCCTCCTCCGGAACCGTTCTTCCCCTTTCTCCTCCTCCTCAACATGGCGCAGGCGATTAACATCACGGAGCTGAATCTGCCACAGTTAGAGATGCTCAAGAATCAACTGGACCAGGTGGGGACGGGCCGCAGCGGCGCCTTTCCGCCCCTCCTGCGCACGTGTGCCCCCACCATCATTCCCAGTTGTTTTGGGGGGCGGCTTCCCTTCCCTTGTGGGGTCCCGGGACCCGCCCCCCTCGACCTGCTCCCTCCCACCCCCACCCGCACCCCAACGGTCTCTCCGCGCTCTGTAGGAAGTGGAGTTCTTGTCCACGTCCATCGCCCAGCTCAAGGTGGTGCAGACCAAGTACGTGGAAGCCAAGGACTGTCTGAACGTGCTGAACAAGAGCAACGAGGGTATGGCGGGGAGGGGAGCCCGGGGCCGGGGCCAGCCTCCTTCTCCCCCGAGAGATCTAGCCGGTCTGTGGTGTGCACCGCCTCACGCGTCCTTGCTCTGCATGCGGCCGACCGAGAGGTGCAGTGTTCAGCCCCACACAGTCTGTTCCCTTTTCTGCTCCGGCCACCCCCCCGTTTCCGTGCTTTGCATACTATCCGTAATGGTGGGCTCCAACAGGAGCTCCTTTTAATATCCTCACGTGGGAGCGACCGACCTTCCCCAAGTATTTGCCTTCATTACTTTCACAGGGAAAGAACTACTCGTCCCACTGACGAGTTCTGTATCCTTTCCACAGGAACTGTTCCCTCGCTCTTCTCCTTTAATCTCCCACAAAGGGAGAGGGTTAATTACCCTAGAGTCCTTCTTCCTCCATGACTATTGTTGTTCTTGTTATTATTAGAGTCATTCTTCCTCCATTATTATCATCATCATCAAAAAATATCTCTCAGGCGGTCTTTTTTTTTTTGGGGGGGGGTCTGGTCATGGGGCCTGAACTCTGGGCCTGGGCGCTGTCCCTCAGCTCTTCAGCTCAAGGCTAGCGCTCTACCACTTGAGCTACAGCGCCACTTCCGGGTTTTTTCTTTTTGCTTATGTGGTGCTGAGGAATCGAACCCAGGGCCTCAGGCATGCAAGGCAAGCGCTCTACCACTGAGCCACCTTCCCAGCCCTCTCAGGTGGCCTTGAACACACGATCTTCCTCCTGTCTCAGCCTCTCATGTCTGAGATAAGAGGCATGGACCATAAGTTCACGTCCTCCTCCATGATTTTGAGAACACTTTTTTACGATCCACACTTTAACCTTGGACCAACATCCATCTACCACCTCCTGAGTACCAAAGATTGGGAAGAATTGAAGTGTGATATTTCTCTTCGTTGTTAACCTATTATGGAGTTGAAGCTGGTGGTTCACACTTCTGATGATGTACAAGAGAAACAATAGGTAATAGAAAAGTATGAAAACTGGGACATTGGCCCTGTTTTTACTCCTCAGTTTAGCTTAATCATGCCTCATTCCTAAACTGCTTTCACCAAGAAACATGGATTGTGCCTCTCTATTGTATATTTTATTTAAAATTGAGCAGATTATGGAAATAGGATGTCTAAAGTCTTATTTATGAACTGATAGGCTAAAAGAAATATCGGAATAGTGTGGTGGGAAGTGGCTTAAATAATGGCCTTTAAATTTTTGTGGTTGAAGAGAGGCTGGCTTTTTGTTTTGGTCGGTTGTGGGGCCTGAACTCTGGGCCCGGTTGCTGTTTATCAGCTCTTCAGCTCAAGGCTAGCACTGTACACAGTGCCACTTCCGGCTTTTCCTGTTTATGTGGTGCTGAGGAATCAAACCCATGGCCTCGTGCATGCAAGGCAAGCACTTGACCACTGAGTCACTTTCTCAGCCCTGGCTTTTTTTTTTTAAACATAAACTATTCTAGTGTAGGAAAGCATTATTGTTGCTGGTCTTTCTAAAAGGTCCAATGGGAAAAGTTAGAGAAACTGCCTGAATGATGAGAATGGACGTAGTACATGAGTGTTCCTGCATATGTCATTTTTTGCATAAGGAACCAGCTTCTCTGTCTCCATTTGGAGTTATAAGTAGTCTTAAAACCGTAGTTCTAAAATCTACAGATTTTTAGAAAAGAAAGGTCTTAAGAGGTCTATCAGGCTAAAGACAGAATCATGGCTCATCCTGGGCTAGTTTTCCCCTTAATCCTTGCTTCTCAGATGTATGTCCCTGGGAAGTTACATGATGTGGAGCATGTGCTCATCGATGTGGGAACTGGCTACTATGTGGAGAAGGTGAGTAGGAGTAAACATGTGGATATCCCCCTCAACATGGAAGGAGGGTTTAAGGGAAGAGTAAGATTGGGTCTCCTTTTATTCCTTATTCACTTCTGTGTTACAGACAGCTGAAGATGCTAAGGACTTCTTCAAGAGGAAGATAGACTTTCTCACCAAACAGATGGAGAAAATCCAGCCAGCTTTGCAGGAAAAGCATGCCATGAAACAAGGTAAACTCTGACTGAGACACCTCTTGATTCTTTTTTTTTTTTGGGGGGGGGTCCGGTCTTGGGGCCTGAACTCTGGGCCTGGGCGCTGTCCCTCAGCTCTTCAGCTCAAGGCTAGCGCTCTACCACTGGAGCCACAGCACCACTTCCGGCTTTTTTCTTTTTGCTTATGTGGTGCTGAGGAATCGAACCCAGGGCCTTATGCATGTAAGGCAAGCGCTCTACCACTGAGCCACCTTCCCAGCCCCCTCTTTATTCTTTCCACCTATACCTTAAAGAAAGGATTGGAGGACCGGGCACTGGTGGTTTATGCCTGTAATCCTAACTACTCAGGAGGATCGTGGTTTAGAGCACAGGTGGCTCACACCTGTAATCCTAGCTACTCAGGAGGCTGAGATCTGAGGATTGAGGTTCAAAGGCAGCCAGGGCAGGAAAGTCTGTGAGACTCTATCTCCAATTAACCACCAGAAAACCAGAAGTGGTGCTGTGGCTCGAAGTGGTATAGTGATAATCTTGAACAAAAAGCTCAAGGACAGTGCTGGGCCCTGAGTTCAAGCCCTACCACCAACAAAAAAGGAAAGAAAAGATTGCACTGTGAATCTGGGTGTTCCCTTTCCTGGATTAAAACCATGTCTTAATGTTATTCTCTAAATGATTCATGCCTAGCATTTATAGATTTCTGTATGTTTAGAGAAAGAAAATCATGGCTATCCTTTTGTAAAATGTTATTTATAGAACAGGGATTGGACAGAGATGCACATAAACGTACAAGAACTAAAAAAACTAAGATGAGCAATTACAATCTTAGCTGCAAATTAGAAGCCCTCCTTAGAGTTTAAATAGAGCTTTAGAGACTGGAAGTGTGGCATAAGTATGAAGCCTTGAGTTAAATCTACAAAAGCTGAGCCCATCCTAGATCAGCTATTATCAACCTAGATATGGGGAATAGAGGGTCCAGGGTGTCAGTGTTTTTTACCACAAGGTGGTTGGAATTAAGACTGATTCTAAAGGCAAAAGGGATTTTTAAATTTTCTTGTACTGAGGGCTGGGAAGGTGGCTCAATGGTAGAATGCTTGCCACACATGCATGAGGCCCTGGGTTCAATTCCTTAGCACTACATAAACAGAAAAAAAAGCCAGAAGTGGCACTGTGGCTCAAGTAGTAGAGCACTATCCTTGAGCTCACTGAAGAGCTGAGGGACAGCGCCCAGGCCCAGAGTTCAAGCCCCACAACCGACCAAAAACAAAACAAAACAAACAAAAAAAAGGGGGGAGGGTGGAAAAAAATATTTTCTCTGGGCTGGGAAGGTGGCTCAGTGGTAGAGCGCATGCCTTGCATGCCAGAGGCCCTGGGTTCGATTCCTCAGCACCACATAAGCAAAAAGAAAAAAG